CACATGTCTTTTATTGCCAAGATTAATCCACATTCTGTTTAAAGAGGAGGCAGAATGTTTCCATACACGGCGGGAACCACTTCGGCATTTTAGGGGAGAGAAACCAGGTTAAAGCCTTTACAATACAAGGACTCAACCCTGGCTGACACCAAGCACCCTCTCTTTCCACTAAAATCAGTCAGCAGCTCCCTTAGCCCTTCAGAGCTACGTTACCCCCTTTACCCAATACCCCATCAAGGTAATTTGCTTAATCACTAGTGGCAGCACCGTTTTGGGTGCAGGATGAGGTGCAGACCAGGTCTGAATCCGGCTTTGGAGCTTCTAAACTTAGAGGATAGCTCCTTGCAACAGGCTAAAGCAATCCTCTTTCTGAGCACTCCGAGGCCTGAGGACCGTGTGCCTAACGAGGCTGTATCCCCACTCATACGTTAGCTTGGCAGGTCTGGTGCTCCTTTCATCTCTTGCTTCAGGTAGCTCTCTTTAATTAATAACATTTCTGTGTCGACACAGGGAACTTTCCACCCAGAATGAATGGCCCTCTCTCATTAGACCCATGACTGTCATGATGTATTCAAGAGCAGGGGTATGATTCATTTCCTTGTCTGCGAACGGGGGGTGTTGCTGGGGGTGGGGGGAGACGAGTCTCTGTAATGAGTGACTGATATTTGCTGAAGTTGATATGCGCCTCTGCCGGCTTGAACTGCCTTGTCAGGACAAGCCTTCAGAAAGGTGATGTTCCCACTCAAGAGGTTTTCCTCATTAAAGAAATTGCATCTTAACAAGAGGGAAGGGGAGGGGTGGGAGGAAAGCTGCTGTCTCCCCCATTCCAGCCTGGATCACGCACATGCAGTACTGAAAGCCGGCTAACCCGAGCACAGCTAGGGAGGATCAGAATTCAGCTTCTCAGCCCTCTTGTGCAATGGGCTCCCACGGCAGCTCCCCAGCCCCTCCACAGGGGCTCTCCTTGGGATGTCACACACAGCCATGACACAGCCTTTGGTGGCAGGGCTGGGGATCTTTTCTCATGTGCTGAACCTCCATAAACCATTCCCAGATGCTTGGTGTCTCTTTCCGGGCACGCAGCTCACTGGGACCCATGTTCCCAGTTGTCAGAGGGACACAGATAAAAGCACTTCTCTGGCCTTCCAAGAAAGCTCCAGTGTGCAGGAAAAGCCTGAATCCTGCAGTGCCTCATTCTCTGAAGACTCCTGAGCCAAGCAGAGGTTTCACAGGTCCTTCGAGAGCTGAGTTTCCATTTCAAATGCTACAGGTCCAGATGCCAGTGGATGCCAAAACCAGCTGCTATGATTAAGGCAAGGATCATTCTGAGAAAGGAATCAGCAGAGCAATGAACAGACCTGCCTCGCACCCAGGAAGCACTGCCGCAGTGGGGCCTTCAGAACGGGGCAGCATCGCATTTCTGAAGAAGCACGAGTGGAAGCGTGAGGAGTGCCGTGTCCTCAGCAGTGCCTATCGAGCACAGAGGACAGTATGTTGGCCCTGCAACCTCCCATCAGCAAGAGCAAGAGATGCTAATGCTGGCATCCTGGCCAACAACTGCTTTCCACCCACCCTCTTGCACTCCCACACGTTACTGTATCTCTCTCCTCCTAAACTTGCTCACATGCCAGATGGCCAAGGCTTGGAACACATCAAGACCCCACTCTGGAGGGCTGTGTTTAAGCAGCGAATTGAGCCTTCACTGGGAGTGCAAGAAGCCCAGTGAAGTCCCACAGCACCAGTTCTGAAGCCGCAAGTACTTCCAGGGGCTACTCATGAACTAGATGGTTTGCACTACTCCTTTCCACCTCCAACCCCAGGCATAGCCCGCAAGCACCCGAGGCAGGCTCCTGTAGGCATGTCTGCCCCAGAGCAAGGAGCTTGTCCTTCTACGAACATCTCACCTCAGCTTCCTGAATTCCACTGGAATGCTGCCAGGAGCACGCTCCAACAACCTTGGATAAGTAGCCACCCACCTCCCCTCCTACCACCCCAGTGCCTTCAGTGCCAGATGTGTAGACCCCATAGAGCAGAAGAGGGCTCCAACTACACCGCTAGTCTTTTAGGGAAGTACAGGGTGATTCCCTGGAATACTTCCTAGATGTTCCACATCCCTGATGCTGTATCGCCTTGTCTGAACAGTCTTGTTTCAGCTCTGTGACTTCCCTGTTTAGAAAGAGATGCTCAGTTCTGCTTTGCTAAACCCTATTTGGCAATGTGTCTAAACACACACAAACTTAATTAGTTCGGGAGGCAGAGTCGGCATTTGTGGTGACGGATAAAAGTAATGGGAAATGAGACAAGTCAGAGCTGGCAGGGAGTCCTCACTCAAGCCTCATTCACTGGCACAGCACTAATCAGATGTGATGCTACACGCTGCTACACCCAATCGGCGACGGAGCAGCGCGATGTGCTACTCACCAAACGGCTGCACCCAGACTCCCTGTATCCATGTGGCTGCAAACATGAAATGTATTTTCTGCTTTGCCCTGGAGATGCTACAGGATTGAACTCTCATGTTAATAGTTTAAAAAAAAATAAAGAAGAGGGAGAAATGAACCACTCACTGCAACCTCATGGCCAGGAGTGGAGTCTTCTTTTCCAGCTGACTAGTAAGGCACAATCCATGCGAGAGACCACTGCAAATGGGGAATCAAGTATCTCAGCTTGAGAACTGCATGTCCTGCTGGCCCGTTCACCCCACAACAACCACAGCTCATCAGGAGTAAGGCGGATCTTCACTTATTTTTTGTCTGGTACTTGATCAGCCACGGATAGAGAAATCTAGCAGCAAAAGGAGGAGCTCGCAGCTAGCAGTTTTGACATAAGATAAACATGCTGTTTTAAGAGCAAGGAAGAAGTCAAGAGAGCAATTCACTCACTTCTAAGGATCACAGGCAACTGTGATGATGAGAGCATCTGCAGGACAAACTGTGTTTCAGGCCCCAGGACAAGTGGCATAATAGGAGTCAAGAACAGTTTTTCCTGAGCCCGAGAGAAAAATCAGCAGCTCTCAGCAGAGGAGAGGACACAGTCACTCTCTACCCACTGTAGAGCTCTGAAGGAAAAGCCCTCAAAGGCTGCCAGTTCTATAGAGATACCAAGTTGGGATGCCACTAGCGGGGACCCTTATCCCACAGTGGAAGGGGTGGAAAGATGGGCTTCAGGCACAGGCAGGTCACAACTCTGTTCTTCACAATCATCACCAAAAGCAGTAAACGGAACTCTCAGGACAGCAATATAAGAGTAAAGAGCTGAGAAAATAGATGAGAAATGAGAACTCAGCACATTCTTCAGCTGTCTTTGTGTGGGTCTCTAAGAAAAGTTTAAATCTGAAATATAAAGAAAAATAAGCCTCACTTTTAATTTGAATCAGTTATGCAGGAATTGGGGAAATACACTCATGCATCAGTTTTGGACATGGTCCCAACCAACACCCAGCTTCTGACTCAAAAACTAGCATGCCACACTCCTGTCTGCAGCATGGCAAATCTCCCCTCTCCACGAGGGTCTGCGCTGCCACTCTGGTCCTCGTGCCTCCCTAATGACACCAAGAACAAGCAAGGAGCTGCCACTCTACAAACACCCCTCTGCAGGAAGGAACCAGTGCTGACTGCTCCCAGGCTGTGTGCGGTTTATTTAGGCTTCAGACTGAGGGAAACCAATGTCAAAGTGAAAACCAAATAACACTACTAACGAGTTGTGGATGTCAGTTTAACATTGGATATGTCAAGCCCAAGCTTTATCGATGTGATAACAACAAGAGTCTTTATCCAGCACTCTAAGGAAATAAAAAGCTGAGGAGAGATTATAGGAATCCAAGGGAATTCAGCACAATGTGACACTGATCTACAAGCACCTTTCAGATTAGACTAATCTAATTCTTTGACTTTTGAATTCCTTTATTTTTTTTAATCAAGTTTTTCAGCTGCAGGTCCAGCTATTTTCATGATGAGACATGCATGTACACCAGCACCTGCAGATCCCAGTGCAGACTCCCATCTGGTACTCTTTGGATACTGTTGCCCAGCTGATAAGCACGACCTCAATGATAGGAGCACTGATAAAGAGTGCCAGACTTGGCTTTTATTTTCTCTCCAAAGACTACTCTGCATTTTACATACAGTTAACGCACAAGATGTCGTTTGTGTGAAAGTCAGGTAAGGACCATTGCTTGATTTAGCTGTACAGCAAGACCAAGACTTTTGTTCACACGTGGGGACACCCATCCTTACTCCAGTTTCTGCATGGAAAAACTAATCCTCTCTATTCCCAGAGGAGATGCCTGCCCAGAGGCCAGGCATGATGTCAGGCATCACAATCTGCTGCGAAAAGGGGTAACTTTTTATCCACCCAGTCTCTCCAGATGAATTTTATATTGAAGCATTCAAGGATCTGGAAAGTCATGAATAAGAGCAATGGCCTCTTCTCTTTGGCAAACATAACAGGTAAAAGAGGAAACATGACAAACCCCTGGCTTAAACTTTTCTTGAGTATGAAAGCAACTCTAAAGGGAATATCCTCGACACTGAACTTACAATATGCCTAGCACCTACCTTTTTTCTTAAGCAACCCTCCTCCCCTCTTCATTATGTACGAAAAGCAATGATTCATGTAGCAAATACTAGATACAGTCTGAGGCTTGTGAATGCAAGAGGCTTGGAAACTAAGAGGAACCACTGCAGAAATCAAGTGCAACATGAAGAGCACTGGGAGGCTTCTCAGCTACAGCTCTCCACCAAACACCTGCAAGGGGTTAAACACAGGCAAGTTGCAGCAGAACAACAGGGAAGCAACAAAATGGGGACAAGAGATGAACATCCTCCATTCTTCTCCACCAGAGATCTCTGAAATCGTACTAGTCAGTAAGAGCCACGGCAATCCAAGGTGGAAGGAGGATTTTTTTTTTGCAGGCAGGAAATGTTTGCAAAGATGTACACGCTACAGGCAAGCATGGAGCAAGAAAGCCGAGAAAAATCTCCCTCCCCTTCCATACTCACATCACTTTCAAATCCCAGTCACCACAGGTCACAAAAATCGACTTGACGCTGGGATCTAAGAGGCCTTCCTTCGCCATCCACTCGTCAACCCTCTGAAAAGAAGGCAAGAAAAGAGGATGAGTTTTTGCACAGACAGACCGAGCCACAACAGTTAAACTCAGATAAGCTGCTTGCAATCAAGAGAGAAGAAAATTGTGATCTTATCCACCCCTCTCCCTCTCTCTCTCTTCTCTCTCTCTGCTTGCCATCTCAACAACAGCACGTTTGGACCTTTGAAGATTTCTGATAGGAGACATCAGGCAACCGGAGCAGAGATGATCTTATCAGACACCACAGCAGCTCTGCTCAGAGAAGGATGGAAGTTGTGCAGCTAATAGGACAATACAGATGCAATATCACCTGGCGACTCTCCTCTTTTCTTCTTCCCATATCAAATGGGCTGGTAACTTCAGTCCCTTCCAGTGATGAGAAACCTATTTATTTCTTGAAGCTTTCTAATGCAGGACACATTTCTTGAAGCTTTCTAATGCGGGACACAGTTGGGAAGTAGAACCTAAAGCAAGAGCGTCCACTACGACCCTCTAGGCATCAAACTGGGGATGGAAGGGAAACAACCAGCAAAACAAATCATCTGCTTTGATTTGCAGGTAAACACAAGCACTCAGCGATGGTGCCCCTCATCTACAGCATTTCACACATACTCTAATTAATGCATCTTGAAAGTGAATGGGACATGGATCAAAGGGGAATGGGACATGGATCAAAGGGAAAGGACTGGGCATGCACAAGCCCTGCATGGCAGTAACAACCAAGTCCATGTGCCCTTCCTTTCCAGCCTGGGTCTATCTCCTCCTTACAGTTCTGGGCACAAGTTTATTCAGGGAAGGGTACAGTGTGGATTTGAAGTAAATCCAATATTCTTGATTGACTTCCCCATAGGGACACTTGTTCTGGATCCACTGTGGAAGTGGGCTACATTAATCTGGGAGAGGCACATCCATCTGGGGATTAATCAGGAATAACTCATTTAAATCTGGAAAGTTGCAGCTGTATTAATTGTACTGAAAAAGCGTACAAAAATATACTGAAATGTTTCTACAGTAGGAAACTCTTCTAGCAACAGCAACCTGTATTTTGAAGTACTCCAGGAGCTCCTGAACAAACATGAGCCACTGCCCGGGGAGGCAGGTGCAGACACGCACCGCTGCAAAGTGCCTTCCGAGGAGCACCAGGGACCGGGGGAGCAGGGAGGCTGCCGTGCATGGGAGCTGCCACCTCCACAGAATGCCATCTTCGGCCTCCTGGCACTGCTGCTGCCTTTCCGGCAGAGCACAGGGCTTCTTTCTGCAACCAACTATGAAAAAGCTCCCCTCAAAGCAGCATCCAGCCTCCCACCCCTGCGAGGCGCTTTTGCCTCCCATGGGGTGCTGAGATCCTACACCCATCCCTGCACAAGGCTCCGGGGAGCAAGGGACAGCAGCTGGAACCTTGCTAGAACCCCTGATGTAAGCGCCCACGAAGTGCTGTCTCCACGGAGGAATTTAAAGCCTTTAATTTGATTTCCTCACATAAGCAATTGTTGCAATTATTCTGATTAGGAACAATTAGGTAACACAGCAATGGAAATCCTGACAGAGACAATGCATCGAACAGCAACCTGCAGCCTGAGCAGGCTCTGCTTAAGGAGGTTTCCTTCACTATTTGACTTCCAACAAAAGCTATCGATGGAGAAATACTTCCAAGCTAATTAAGACCTAAATGCTGTAGGAATCCAACATTAAGCAGATGGCATTATTAGGGCTATATCTGCATTTGCACATCCTCCAGATTAGATTTTAGAGGCATTTTCCTTCTATACTACATGTATTATTGCGCATTTAAATAGGTAGAGAAAATTAATTTAATAAGGTGCTGAGGGAGTAGAAGGAAAAAGGAGGCACAGCTACCAGAGCAATGGTCTCAAGCCATCCATGTCTTGGTGCTTTGAAAGTGGCTAAAGTAGAATAGCCTCTTCTCCTATCTGCTGGCAGGAGTTTGGATATCCTGTCAGTACCCTTGACATGAACAGCTGGAGATGACAGATCAATGGTTCAATACTCTCAGCAGCATGTCACCAACGTGACAGCAAATGTTATTCTAATGAAGCTGTAATCATAGTCAAATTACGCGGTTCGATTCTCAGAAAAGGGAGGGCGCAGGGAGAGCGATGGAGAGGGGAGGACAGGATCTGAGGGCAGAGTTCAGGAACTAAAGGTTATTCTTCTCACCTCGAGCACTTGCTGGAGGCTGGGCTGCCCATCCACCATGCCTTGAATAATCCCAGTCAGCTGAAACAAGAGACAAACAGAAAGCAGGAATCAGGGCAGCGTTCAAAAGATGGTTAGAAAATCTCCTCTCCTGTCCTTCCTGCTGCCCTAACAGATGCTCCCGTGACCCACGTGGGCGATACCCAGGCAGCAGCTGCCCCGGCCACAGGCAAGGGCAGAGCTTCATCCCAAACCCGTGGAGCAGCAGGGCTCCTGCCCACAGCAGGAAACACGGAGCTCCCTTTAGTGCAGGACGCACCGAGGGCTGCAGCGATGCCCTCCGCGCACCGACACGGTGCCCACGCCGCTGCCTTCTGCTCAACGCGTAGCTTCCCGTTCGGATGTCGCTTCGACCTGCACAGGCAGAGGAAACTACTGGCACGTGCATGCATTGCCCTGCTGTCATGGTGACACCAAAATTGCACAATATTGGATAAACAGAATAAACTACCATTGGTAAACGAGAAGGATAGAGAATTCACTCATCCACCGCTGCAATGGGCAGCAAGCACACATATTTTCTGACAGTCCATCACAACATTCTTCTGCATTTTAAGCTGCAGATAACACTCACTGTATTTAAAACAACTGAACGAAATTTGAAAAAAGAACATTTACTTCCTGACTACTAAAGTAATTGTTTTTTCCAGTGGGCTCCTTAGGGAGGAATGCTGCCGACAGCTAATTCCAGTGACTTTACCAGGACTGCTTGGCTGTTTAGAGGTAGGCTCATGGGTCTCTGCCTGGGTCTACCCAGGACAGCTTGAGGCGTGTAGAAACCTTCCAACTGACAAAACTGTCTTTTAACATATTGAATATTGGAGGTCAGTAGCTTGCCATCAATGCATCCAAGTAATTAAAAAAATCATTATTAAAACAAGCACACACTACAGTATTTTGCTTTATATTGCACTTTCCTCACACATTTTCATAAAACAAAGGTCAAACGCAGCCCCGTGACCCGCACGCGGCACCCGAGCCCCCAGGAGCCGCAGAGGCCGCGTGGGAGTTACCACCAGCCTTCCCACTCTCTGCCCAGACTGAGACATTCGCCCTGTACCAAACCACGGGGTTCTGTATTATTAAACACACAGCAACTGAAACTAGCTGAGCTGTTTCTGCCTCTCTGTTTCTTTGGCTGCTTGGCTTAGAGCACTGAACTTGGAGGAAAGAAAAAAAAAAGATTAAACTTCAATTAAATTGTAATTACATTTAATGAATACCAAATACCTGACTCAGTGAATAAGCTGTAAGTGGAAAGATTATTTTCTCATAGTGACTTCCATGGAATAGTAATATATACCTTTTAGGGAAAGTATTTTAATTTTAAGAACGCAGAGTTCCTCTAGGTGGGTTTCTGAAGTTCATCAAGTCACTATTAGGTGGAATTTTAAGGAAGTGGAAGGATAGAGACAATCTTTTATATTCCAGAAACTGTTTTTAATATTAATCTCTATTTTAATTGGCTAACATCCGCTGCCTACAGACTTCCCATACTCCGAAGACGCAGATAGATTTAAGAGAGATTAATGCATGAGCCGTTTTCAACGCTCACTAGCTTGTTTGTTCATTTTCTTGGTGTCATCTTCCCCGGGCCTTCACCCAGCAAAGATGGGGGGAAACAACTCATCCTCAGCCGGCAGAGCCAGGGCAGGTGCCAGCTCGCTCGAGCAGGAGCGCTCGCCACGGACGCGCTCCATCCCATGGCTCTGCGTCAATACAGACCGGAGATGGCCCAGGAGGGTCCCCATCGCTGCTCTCTCGTCCTCCCTACTCTGCTCACAGTCACACACATCAGTAACGTCCAGCTTCGCGCTGGGCGCATCGCGGGGCCGCAGCATCATCTGCTCTTGCAGCTCTGGTAAAGTACCAAAGCTTAAAACTATGCTCGTGTAAATTCTGATTGGTGATGCTCTGAAGCACATGGACTTGGGAACATAAAGTTATAAGGCATTCTTCTTTTTGTACCTTTATTGTCTGTTCCTTCAGGAAAAAAAACAAATCAATAAAAATTAATCATTAAAAAAGAGCAGAGTACCATGAAAAGCCTCCATGAGCATACTGCATGGAGAGGGAACATTTCACCTAAGCACCCGGCACGAGTTTTCTCAGGCACCAGCCAGACAAACCCCTAGCATCTTGCCCCCAAAGGGGCATGATCAGGTTTTATATCTAACAGCAGCTTCTGGCTACTTGTCAGCGCTTTCCATCTGCTCAGAGTGTTACTTCACTCCCGATAACCAAGCTTCAGGGGCTGCTGTTTTACATAGGTAGGTAAAGAGGAAGGGGACAGGATCAGAGCGACAGAGCGAACCAGCTGGTGTGGGACATCAGATGAAGCCTCTCCTGGCCTGGGGCACACGCCGACTCAGGGCAAGACTAAAGCAAAGGGCTGCCAGGAGGGTGCCCACGAGCACTATGCCCTTGCCACAACTGTGCTGCCTTCTTCAGGATGGAAAACAAATCCAATCGATGCTCCGGATCCTGGGAGCGGTGTCGAGGGACCCCAGCAATCGTCTCACACATGCTCTTCATGCAGCAATCTTGTTCCTTCTTGGTAAAGGCAGTGAGTGGCAGGGAGAGGTGGGGAAAAAGCAGCAGAGCAGACAGGCTCCGGTGTAATGTCAACACTGCTGCTTTTCCTACAGAGTTTATCTCGGAAACCATCGTATTTCTACTCCAAGACAGTTTGCTGATTACATAAGCACTCGTCTCTGGTGTACAATCTGATAATCGGCCCTGGTCTTTCTTTGTAGACAAAGAGGCCAATAAATCTCACCCTTTGTAAGTAGAGGTGCCTAGACAAAGCCCTTTACTGGCATTTAGCAAAATGGGTATTTTTCAGAAAAGAGCTGAGAGCTGATGGCCGGAGCTGTGCAGGCAGCGGCTGCGCACACTGCACACCCCGGCTCCCACCCCTGGGACCTGCTCCAGCCCTCCCATCTCCTCCTCACTCCGCATCCCCAAAGCCAGCGGCACGGAGCAGGGTGGCTTGTGGGGAGGCAGGAGCTGTCTGCCCGCCAACCAAAACCACCAGCACCAGCAAGTGTCCCCCCATGGGCAGGGCCTTCTCCTCCCCATCGAGAGCGAGGACGTGCGAAGGGAGGGAGATGCTCCGCGCGCCCCCAGCCCTGCATGGAGATGTCCAGGCTCTCTTGCTCAGCACACATGAGCACAGGCAGGGGCAAGAGCTGGGCTCTAGGGAGGAAGAGTAGCAGAGAGTAAGAAAGAGCCAAGCAGAGGTCTGCAGTGAGCAGAGGATTTGCTGTAGGAGCAGCGTCAGGTGGTACAAGACAACTGGCACATGAACGGGTGGTGTCACTCGTACAGCCTTCAAGGAAGGCAGCTGCACCACCACACTGGGCCTGGCCTGCTGGGGCTCCCTAGCAAGGGTCACGCATCTCCCCTTTGCACATCTCCAGCCTTTACAAAAAGCAGGCAGAAATAAGGAACGGTATTTTTGTGCTGTGCACTTTATAAACAGTCACAACAGCTCACCTCTGCTTCCCGGGGCAGCGTTTCCAGGTCAGGCTAGGCAGGAGATCGTGTGGCCAGTCTGTGGCACAAGGGCCATGCCCTGCACTGAGCAGCACCGGCCACTTGGGGTTTTGCTCAGGAGCGGGATTCTCCAGACTACAATTACTCCCTAACACACACTGTTAATAGCAGAGGTTCCCCAACCTGGTGTGTTTGATGATTTTGTGCCACAGATACGCACTGGTTTTTGTTTTTTGTTTTTGTGACCATTTTGCCTGTGGCCTTCAGAGCTGCCCCTTTTTATTTCACTCTGTCCACACAACAGCAGGCAGGAGTTCAGCTGCAGAGGAGGGATTGCAGCACGATGCTGCAGCAGGGACGACCATGCCCATCCGCAGGAGTCCTGCAAATCCAGCCCAGCACGTGGCCACTCAGCACGGAGCCTTTCGCTCTACCCCTTCACACACAGGAGCCAGGAGCCTTCAGAGAGGCAAATACTGGCTCCAGGCATCCCAGCTCTGAAGAGCAAGGGAAGACAGAGAAAGTGACACTGCAGTGAAGGAGCCTAAGGAGAGCTGAATGTCTCTACAAACTTGGTGTCCAGAGGACCTCCAAACCACGAATCCCACTGTCAAACCCCTAATGCCTCTTCACATCCTAGCAGACTTCAGACTGCAAAAACAGGCCAAAGAAGTCAAATTTGCTTGCAGACTCTCATGCAGCAACAGAATTGCAGCCTTCAGAACAGTTACATTTTGGGCCTTACTCCACCAGTCTCTCAACGCAGATCAGGTGCAAGCTTTAAAACTGATTGCATCACACATTTGCACAAGCACATGTTCAGCAAGTCTCATGTGCATTAGGACAGATAAAGTAGTTGCCCAGCCTTCTAGGAATAAGATTGCAAAAGATTTTCCATTATAGCCCCATTTTCAAACATTTATAACTTTCTGAAAGCCTCTCCCATTGTCTATGCTTAGTTTTTTGGGTTTTCTTTTCCCCCAAAGTTTAAATAAAATAATACTTTCACGTTTTTCAGTTAGGAAAGGAAATTTGTTTTTAAAATGCGGAAATGTGGAAGGGTCTGACTGGCTTTGGAGGGGGCTCCAGCTACCACAGAAAAGACATTTAATCAATTTGGTCCCCATGGGACAAGTATGTTGAGGGCCCAACTCTGCAGGCACTGAAGTCACAGAAAATGCATCGTGGCATCAACGACCTCAGTCCTGCCTGCAAAGAACTTGGGTACTCTGATCCCCCTAGACAGTGTTTTAGTATCCAGGCTAGCCAAAAGTTAAGCAGTGGAGGAGGAAAAAAAGCTTGAAGCAAAGGCAACTTACAAAACTTCCTTGCCTGCAGCGGTGAAGAAGAGTGCACCTGCAGAAACAGCTAACTTTCTGTGCTGAAGTGAAAAAATAATAATCCTACTCCCATGATTCCTTTGATTTGTAAGGAATCACCCAATTCCCTGCATGCCATTTTCATCCTCTCATCTGTATCTGGAAAAAGCTGGATGTATCTCAGGAAAGCAGCTCTCCTCAGCAATGAGTGTAACCAAGTAACAAGACCTCACTTCTCCAGCAATCATTGCAAGAACCCCACAGGCACAACATCAAAAAAAGAGTCTTAAAAATAGAGATGTAGGTTGTCTCACCATTCTGAGGAGCTCATCAAATCACAACAAGCAAGCACACAGGAGAGTCATTTGGAGCTTCTGAACCATGCAGCAGTACAACTCTGCCTTTGGACCAGGCTCTTTGACCTTCCCGACCAAAGGGCAGCCCAGCACAGTCATTAAGTGCTTACTCGCAGGCTTCAGCATCCTGACCATTCATCAATATGGCATTACTACTTTAATTCTGTGGTCATCCAGGAATACATTCCTTAGTTATACAAACAGTTGATCTTTTTGAGGAGATCGCAACTAGAGTTAGTTATGAACCCAAACCAAAGCCTGTACACTCTACTACAATAATAAAGATGTTTCCCCTTGTCCTTAACATGAAGCTGGAACACCACCATGCCTTGCAGCAGTATCATGAGCAGGTGATCCCAACCCCCGGTGCAATGGAAACCTGCTACCCAGAGATACTCTTAGCGCACCGGGGAACCTTTGACTTTACCTCTGTACAGAAGGGCGTAAGCTGGGGATGCACCACAGGCTGAACATACATGTGAAAGGTGGATTCGATCTCCATCGTCCTGCCATTCAGCTTCAGGATAGGGAATTCGATGATTTCCTGAATAGGATGAAAAGAAAAGCAGCTGATCATTTAAATCAAACAGAAAAATGAAGCTGGGAAAGATCCATTCTAGCAAGATGGCTGTAAGAAGAGTGGGCTGATGGCCCCGAACGGAAACAAGGCCAACACGAAGCTCTACGCAATGAGCGAGAGTCACTTTAGGAGGACTGAACACGTCCAGCGCCGTCAGCGTGAAGGACCACGGTGCTGCACTCGCCATGCGCTGGCCTCAGCTGGGCATCCTGGTGCTCTCTGCGCTCAGTGCAGCAGCCGCGCTCGAGTCGAAGCTTCGAGAGGAAGACGACAACGTAGCACCGCTCACACTGCCCAGAGAACACGAGAAATGCTGGCAATGGGTTTCTTCTGGCTAGCAGCGACATCTTGGACGTGATGCCCTCAGGACGAGCAGTTCCACCCCCTCCACCACTAGCTCCTTTTGGAGGACACCGCACAGAAAACAAGAGCTCCTTAAAGTGTGCGACAACACAAAGCACCTCCTTCCCAGGCACAGCTGGAACACGAGTTGCAAGGAGCACCCCCCTCCTCCAGCAAAGCGAGAGGATCTCTAGGTCCCCTTGAAAAAGCCACCCCTATGGGATGCGGCACACTAGCAAGCCCTGCTTTATTTTCCCCTCTATAGCCAATTTATGCTGATAGGGAAATAAAAACGTCTTCTTCTTCATCAGAAGAATGTTCAATTATTTGAATAATCAGCAATCAAAAATTTACATGGACCTGTTAATAAAAAGTTTAAACAAATCCAGTTAGGATGGATTTCTCAATTATTAAAAAATATACATGATATTAAAAAAAGCCAACCGCTGAATAAAAGCGATAAAATCCTTTGTGTTCACCCCCCTCCTTCCCCACTGCCGCTCCTCCTTCCAGTTTAATGCAAGAGAAGTGACAATTTGTTTGGTGTCTTTAAAGAATAATTTGTCTATGTTATTTAATAGAGATGCATGGCACCGAGGTTCTGGAGTGCAAATGAGCCTGCTGAGTGATATCCATGCAACAAGCCTCTCAAATCACTTCTAGAGAGAAAGAGAGAGGGAGAGAGAATAAAAAAAAATATTGCTTTTTAATATTCAAAAACAGTTTGCAAAATTTAATCAAAGCAGAGCAAAAGCTAACATTTTTACCACTTTGACATTTTTATTAGCGCTTTCATAAATTTTTAAAACATGAATGGAATTAGTTTAACAACAACAAAAAAAAACTGCCTGAAAACATCTGGAAGAGACAAATACAAAATAATAAAAAATAAATAAATATACCCAACTCGGGCGAGTAAAATTAGCATGTGGAAAGGCAGTGGTTGCAGAGGAGCAAGGCAGGCTGCGGACCCAGGCCACATTCCCCATGACCTGCAGGTGGAAATTGCCACGAGTCGCTCGCGTGAGCGTCGCCGCGCCGGCAGCAGCAGGAGGGTACGTGGAAACGAGGAATGCTTTAAATATCCATCGGAAACAGCCCGCTGCCACCTTGGGAGCAGCCGAGGGCTGTGAACGCTCACGGTGACGAAGCGCCCGTGCGCGGGCGCCGAGCGGCGCAGGACGCGGCGCGGGGTTCACGGTTTCCGCCGCACGCGTTTGCCCCGCTGGAATAACCACCCCGCAGCAGCCTTCTGCTCGGAAGGGAAGCGGCCTGCGGAGCTCGAAGCAAACGGGCAGGATGTCCCACGAGAGCGCGGCTCGGCCCCAGGCCGGCTCACGTGGGACAAGCCCGTTGACCGAACGCTGCTCTCCCTCCTCGAGGGCCAGTCCTGGCCCCAGGGCCTGCACCCGACCCAGGGCAGCCTGTGAAGCAGCAGGGCAGGCCCCGCGGCCGCGTTTGCCTTCCAGAGCCAAACGCGCTTCCAGGAGGGTCGGATTAAAACATACGGAGGAAATAAAAACGAGCTCCGCTAAAAAAATGTGGAAAATTTAACAATACCAAGCATGACTGCAGGTCTGGGGAAAACATGCGAGCAGGGAACTGGGGTGGAACCTGAGCAGCAGCATGAACGTCTTGGGGGAAAGAATGGCAGCTCTTTGGGGCTTATTTGGTCCGTTTTTCAAGCGAGCGGTAAAGGGCCTTTCCCAAAAGGCTGTTTATCCGCACGCTTCCTATAGCAAAGACTTTTCCAGTCTCTGGCAATGTTTGCTCCACTGGTATCTAAGGCAACAGATACCAGCCCCATGAAATCAGCCCCACTCCTCACTAACGACGTTAGCCAGTCCTGCAATGAAATTTAACCTGTGACACCGCTGTACTTTTCATTTAAACTTTCATTTGGAGAGAAGCAGTGTTTGGAGACCCTGCAGTTTGTCCTGCTAATAAAGACAAGTGTTGGGACCTTTAAAGGTGCCATTCATCTTTTCCCTTTATTAAATTCAATTTTCTTAAGCCCATGATACATCATGAAATTAAGAGTTGACATTCCTGCAGAAACAAAAATATCTATCAAACATAAACAGAAAGGGGAAAAAAAAAGAGGCCTCTATTACCAAGAATTTATGGCTTAAAGTTGATCTGTTTCCACTTTTTTTTTTTTTTTTTAACAAGCATATGGTTTGTTTTAGATCTCCAAAATGTTATTACAGATCTAGAATTTCATTAGTAATTATTATGAAATGGTGAGTGCTCAGACACACACACACACCCCCCCAACAGACCGCGATTCCGAAGGCAGCCGGGCGCTCCCTCACGTTTCACAACGGCCTGGTGAGCTGAAAACGCTACATCCCCACAGCCAAGGCCCTTCGTTGCCTTTTCCCAGGTGGGAAAAGGTGGAGGGAAACAGTGCAATGGAATTAAAAGGAGAGGTTCACTCACGTTTGGTTTCTTTTATCAGAGTCTAATCACTCATTAAGAGCTATGCCGAGACCCGCACGCATTTCCATTTCCAGCACTGACTACCTGTGTGCCAGCCACTGCATCACCCTGCTCCAGCAGCGTTCGGGTCTTCCAAGGCTTTCTCTCTCAACCAAAAGTTATGAATGTGCTGAAATAATGTGGAGGGTGTCCAGAGGCTGCAAAGAGCCACAAGGTACCAGAAGAACAAATGTGCCCATTTGAATTCTGCAAGCTCTGCAATTAGGTACTTTATTTAGCACTGCAAAGTAACTTGAAAGGAAATCCAGGATTCAAACCATCAGCAGTAAATAAGCAGCTTTTTATTTTCCTTTCATTGTTGTGAAAAGTTGAGCATGTTTTGTGCTGAGAAATTCTGCACGCAGCTCCCAATTACAGGCATTTGCATTTATATTGTTGGAACACAGAGCTTCTAAAATCAATATTAACACGCTTAAAGAAAAAGACATTGCCGCCCTGTCCCTCCTCTCAGCTGCTCACCCAAACACGCTCACAATAGGAACACAGAGAGCCGTAGGCTTAGAAATATCCATTACCAGGTCCACTGTCTTCCCAACAATCTTGTATTCACAATTTTGCAATACTTCAAACAAATCTATATGACCATTCGCTCAATTCTCGTCTCTTTTTTGTTTGTTTTTTAAACCTGGCCGTCTCATGACGGGGGTCTGAGGAGAAGCAAGTCAGCTGCAGAGCAACTGTGGGGCAGCTCCAGGTTTCCTTTTCAAAGGGAGCTGAAAAATTCATAGGGGCATGTGAAATCACTGCTGCAAACACAGCCTTTTCCTACCCAACCGCCCTAAATGACACCTCCCTTCTTTAAAACCAGAAAAGGCTGCCTGGATTTTCTTGATGCTAAATCAACAAGCACAAGACGATACTCACTAAATGCCATCCTGGAAGAGCAAGATCTCTAGAGCTTAGAAAAGCAAGCAGCAAAAGTTGCACTGCTTCTCCCACAAGAATCTTTTTGCTCATCTTCTTGGATCTGTGGAGCAATAACATTATTAGACTAAAGGAAAATCCACAGAAAAAAAACCTCCTGGCTCTCAAAACCTTCAAATCCAGAAGCCCATGCAGGAAGTGGACAGGGCTTACTTCAGGACAGTGATTTATATATTCAAGGAAGATCTTGTCACCATGCAGTTCAAAAACTAGCAGAGAATAATTTACCCCCTACTCCCATCCCCATCTGAAGAAGTTTAATAAACAACAGAATAAAAGATGCCCGTAAAAATCAGAGCTGACTGTTCAAAATGTAATAAAAACAAGCAGGTGCTTTAAGAGAAAGCGATTTTTTTTTTCTGATAAAAAAAACAGACCAAACTTCCTACCAGGAGATCACTTTGCACATTCAAAAAAGGTGAGGGAGGGAGATGCAAGGGAGTTTCACTGGAGGAAACATAGGCTCTGAATCAGTGCGTTTTGTTCAGGGATTTTTTTTTTCCTCTTTAAAGAGAAAAGAGTCATTTTATGCACAAGGAGCTTATTTCTTAAACAAACACTCGTGTTTTTGATTTACACCACGGGCTGCTCCTAAATAATTTATGGCGGGTTAAATTTATTGCACAGCCTTGGCCGGCTGCAAATTCGAATTGCCAAATAATTAGATTTTAGGGCAATGCTTATAAATTATCCGCCGATTTGTCCGGACTTGTTTGTCAGTTGCTTTGTGCTTCGGGTCATCTTTGGCATTTCGCTGTTTGTGTTTTAATTGCTGATTTACACTTTGACAGATGAGAGTTGATGCCTCCAAGTTCCGGGAGGGAGCAGAAGGGGGGGAGTGAAGAGCAAGAAGAATCAGAGCTGTTAAAGGCTTGCGATTTTCCTTTTTTCCAAGGCAATTAAAATCCAAAGGGGACACAGTAAGGACAGCACTAGCCTAACAGATCTGCCTCCCCAGTTCCCATTCCCTGCCGTAATTATTATTTTAACTAAAGCTGTTTTCAAGTTGAACAGCCTTGCACTAGCCCTCGGGAGCAGTAACCAAGATGACCTCATAGGTCTTCTCCCCAATTCTAAATTTCTGTTTAACTAACTGCAACGCCTGCCATAAAGACAACCCTTTTGCACCGGGGGACAGCAAGACTTGTGCCGAATCAAGCGCCTGACGGTGCCGACACACGCACACAGCGCCGCGT